CCACCACCTCCACCACCACCACCACGACCACCTCCACCACCACTACCACCATCATCATCACCATCACCACCACCACCACCATCATCATCACCATCACCACCACCATCACCACCACCACCACCATCATCACCATCACCACCATCACCACCACCATCACCACCATCACCACCATCACCACCACCACCACCATCACCACCATCACCACCACCATCACCACCATCACCATCACCACCACCATCACCACCATCACCACCACCATCACCACCATCACCACCACTACCACCATCACCACCATCACCATCACCACCACCATCACCATCACCACCATCACCACCACCATCACCACCATCACCACCACCATCACGACCACCATCACCACCACCATCACCACCACCATCACCACCACCATCACCACCATCATCACCACCATCACCACCATCACCACCACCATCACCACCATCACCATCACCACCACCATCACCATCACCACCATCACCACCACCATCACCACCATCACCACCACTACCACCATCACCACCATCACCATCACCACCACCATCACCATCACCACCATCACCACCACCATCACCACCATCACCACCACCACCACCACCATCACGACCACCATCACCACCACCATCACCACCACCATCACCACCACCATCACCACCATCACCACCATCATCACCACCATCACCACCATCATCACCACCACCATCACCACCATCACCACCACCACCATCACCACCATCACCACCATCATCACCATCACCACCATCACCATCATCACCACCATCACCACCATCACCACCACCATCACCACCACCACCATCACCACCACCATCATCACCACCATCACCACCATCACCACCACCACCATCACCACCACCATCACCACCACCATCACCACCATCACCACCAACTTCACCACCACCACCACCATCACCACCACCATCACCACCACCATCACCACCATCACCACCACCATCACCACCATCACCACCACCATCACCACCACCACCACCATCACCACCACCACCATTACCACCACCACCATCACCAGCACCACCACCATCACCACCACCACCACCATCACCACCACCATCACCACCACCACGATCACCACCACCACCATTACCACCACCACCATCACCACCACCATCACCACCATCACCACCACCATCACCAGCACCACCACCATCACCACCACCATCACCACCATCACCACCATCACCAACTTCACTTCCTCCTCCCCCATTACCTCGCTCTGAACTTTGGTTCGAGGGTTCAATCCGAGACCCGCGCCTGGTCAATAATTAACCCGCAGTGGTGAGTGTGGTGGTGAGTGTGGTGAGTGTGGTGAGTGTAGTGGTGAGTGTGGTGGTGAGTGTGGTGGTGTGGTGGTGAGTGTGGTGGTGAGTGTAGTGGTGAGTGTGGTGGTGAGTGTGGTGGTGAGTGTAGTGGTGAGTGTGGTGGTGAGTGTAGTGGTGAGTGTAGTGGTGAGTGGTGGTGAGTGTGGTGAGGGTAGTGGTGAGTGTGGTGGTGAGTGTGGTGGTGTGGTGGTGAGTGTGGTGGTGAGTGTAGTGAGTGTGGTGGTGAGTGTAGTGAGTGTGATGGTGAGTGTAGTGGTGAGTGTAGTGGTGAGTGTAGTGGTGAGTAGTGGTGAGTGTGGTGGTGAGTGTGGTGGTGAGTGTAGTGGTGAGTGTGGTGAGTGTGGTGGTGTGGTGGTGAGTGTAGTAGTGAGTGTAGTAGTGGTGAGTGTAGTAGTGAGTGTAGTAGTGGTGATTAGTGGTGAGTGTAGTAGTGTAGTGGTGAGTAGTGGTGAGTAGTGGTGAGTGTAGTGGTGAGTGTGGTGAGTGTGGTGAGTGTAGTAGTGAGTGTAGTGGTGAGTGTGGTGGTGAGTGTAGTGGTGAGTGTAGTGGTGAGTGTGGTGAGTGTGATGGTGATTGTGTTGGTTAATGTGCTGAGTTTAATGGTGAGTGTCGTGGTGAGTGTGGTGGTGAGTGTGATGAGTGTGGTGAGTGTAGTGGTGAGTGTAGTGGTGAGTGTGGTGGTGTGGTGGTGAGTGTGGTGAGTGTAGTGGTGAGTGTAGTGGTGAGTGTGGTGGTGTGGTGGTGAGTGTGGTGAGTGTAGTGGTGAGTGTGTTGGTGTGGTGGTGAGTGTGGTGAGTGTGATGGTGAGTGTAGTGGTGTGTCTGTGTAACAGCACTTGCCCCTACAGCCCTGCTAGAGGCTACCTGGGGTAGCTTTGTCTGTGTGTGTAACTGTTGCAACTCATCATCACCACTATCACCATCACCACCATCACCACCACTACCATCACCACCATCACCACCATCACCATCACCACCATCACCACCACCATCACCACCACCATCACCACCACCACCATCACCACCATCACCATCACCACCACCATCACCACCACCATCACCATCACCACCATCACCACCACCATCACCACCACCACCATCACCACCATCACCATCACCACCACCATCACCACCACCACCATCACCACCATCACCACCACCACCACCATCACCACCATCACCACCACCATCATCACCACCATCACCACCACCACCATCACCACCACCACCATCACCACCACCATCATCATCATCGTCGTCAGGAGTCATTTTATTTTCCAAACAAAACCTCACAGTGGTACAAGAATAAAACGTCGACCAAAAACAATCACCACGTGGACAGCGATGGTGGTGATGGTGGTGGTGATGGTGGTGGTGATGGTGGTGGTGATGGTGGTGGTGATGGTGGTGGTGATGGTGATGATAGTGGTGGTGATGGTGGTGGTGGTGATGGTGGTGGTGGTGATGGTGGTGATGGTGATGATGGTGGTGATGGTGGTGATGATGGTGGTGATGATGGTGGTGGTGGTGATGGTGTTGGTGATGGTGATGATGGTGGTGGTGGTGGTGATGGTGGTGGTGATGGTGGTGATGGTGGTGATGGTGGTGATGGTGGTGGTGTTGGTGGTGATGGTGGTGGTGATGGTGATGATGGTGGTGATGATGGTGGTGATGATGGTGGTGGTGGTGATGGTGGTGATGGTGTTGGTGATGGTGATGATGGTGGTGGTGGTGATGGTGGTGATGGTGGTGATGGTGTTGGTGATGGTGATGATGGTGGTGGTGGTGATGGTGGTGATGGTGGTGATGGTGGTGATGGTGGTGGTGGTGATGGTGGTGATGGTGGTGGTGATGGTGGTGGTGGTGATGGTGGTGTTGGTGATGGTGGTGGTGATGGTGGCTCTGGAGGGTTTAAATGGAAAATAAAAACGATAACAGACACGGGGAGAGAGACTTAGTGGGTGAGTGAGTGGGTGAGTGGGTGGGTGAGTGGGTGAGTGAGTGGGTGGGTGGGTGAGTGGGTGAGTGGGTGAGTGAGTGAGTGGGTGGGTGAGTGAGTGAGTGGGTGAGTGGGTGAGTGAGTGAGTGGGTGGGTGGGTGAGTGGGTGAGTGGGTGAGTGGTTGAGTGAGTGAGTGGGTGAGTGGGTGAGTGAGTGGATGAGTCAGTGAGTAGGTGAGTGAGTGGGTGAGTGAGTGGGTGAGTGAATAGGTGAGTGAGTGAGTGGGTGAGTGAGTGAGTAGGTGAGTGAGTGAGTGGGTGAGTGAGTGGGTGGGTGTGATTGTCAGTCTCTCTCCCTGCCTCTCTCCCGCTCCCTCTCTGTCTCTCTCTCTGTGTCTCTGTGTCTCTCAGTGTGTCTCTGTGTGTCTCTATGTGTGTCTCTGTGTGTGTGTTTCTCTCTGTGTGTCTCTGTGTGTCTCTCTCTCTGTGTCTCTGTGTCTCTGTCTCTCCGTGTGTCTCTCTGTGTGTCTCTCTGTGTCTCTGTGTCTCTCTCAGTGTCTGTATTTGTCCCTGTCTCTCTCCCTGTCTCTCTCCCTGTCTCTCCCCCTCTCTCTCCCCCTCTCTCGCTCCCGGCGGGAGACGTCTCTCTCTCTGTGTGTCTCTGTGTGTCTGTCTCTCTCTGTGTGTCTCTGTGAGTCTCTGTGTGTCTCTGTGGGTCTCTGTGTGTCTCTGTGTGTCTCAGTGTCTCTCTCTGTGTGTCTGTGTGTCTCTGTGGGTCTCTTTGGGTCTCTGTTGGTCTCTGTGTGTCTCTGAGTCTCTGTGTGTCTCTGTGTCTCAGTGTCTGTATTTATCCTTGTCTCTCTCCCTGTCTCTCTCCCTGTCTCTTCCCCTCTCTCTCCCCCTCTCTCGCTCCCTGCGGGAGACGTCTCTCTCTCTGTGTCTCTCTGTGTCTCTCTGTGTGTCTCTGTGTGTCTCTGTGTCTCTCTGTGTCTCTCTGTGTCTCTCTGTGTCTCTGTGTGTCTCTGTGTCTCTGTGTGTTTCTGTGTGTTTCTGTGTGTCTCTGTGGGTCTCTGTGGGTCTCTGTGTGTCTCTGTGTGTCTCTGACTCTCTGTGTGTCTCTGTGGGTCTCTGTGTGTCTCTGTGTGTCTCTGTGTCTCTCTCTGTCTCTCTCTGTCTCTCTGTGTCTCTCTCAGTGTCTGTATTTGTCCTTGTCTCTCTCCCTGTCTCTCTCCCTGTCTCTCCCCCTCTCTCTCCCCCTCTCTCGCTCCCGGCGGGAGACGTCTCTCTCTGTGTGTCTCTGTGTGTCTCTCTCTGTGTGTCTCTGTGTCTCTCTCAGTGTCTGTATTTGTCCTTGTCTCTCTCCCTGTCTCTCTCCCTGTCTCTCCCCCTCTCTCTCCCCCTCTCTTGCTCCCTGCGGGAGACGTCTCTCTCTGTGTGTCTCTGTGTGTCTCTCTCTGTGTGTCTCTCTCTGTGTCTCTCTCAGTGTCTGTATTTGTCCTTGTCTCTCTCCCTGTCTCTCTCCCTGTCTCTCCCCCTCTCTCTCCCCCTCTCTCGCTCCCTGCGGGAGACGTCTCTCTCTCTGTGTGTCTCTGTGTGTCTCTGTGGGTCTCTGTGGGTCTCTGTGGGTCTCTATGTGTCTCTGTGTGTCTCTGACTCTCTGTGTGTCTCTGTGGGTCTCTGTGTGTCTCTGTGTGTCTCTGTGTCTCTCTCTGTCTCTCTGTGTCTCTCTCAGTGTCTGTATTTGTCCTTGTCTCTCTCCCTGTCTCTCTCCCTGTCTCTCCCCCTCTCTCTCCCCCTCTCTCGCTCCCTGCGGGAGACGTCTGCAGCCCTCTTGCCCAAGTCACCGAGGGTTTGCGTGCGACGGAGGAAGTCGTCCACACGGGAGTCGTAGTCCTACACGGAGACACGCGGAGACACATCACAGAGACACATCACAGAGACACATCACAGAGACACATCACAGAGACACATCACAGAGACACATCACAGAGACAGAGACACACAGAGACAGATACAGAGACACACAGAGACAGAGACACAGAGACACACAGAGACAGAGACACATCACAGAGACAGAGACACACAGAGACACATCACAGAGACACATCACAGAGGCACATCACAGAGGCACATCACAGAGACACATCACAGAGACACATCACAGAGACACATCACAGAGACACATCACAGAGACAGAGACACACAGAGACAGATACAGAGACACACAGAGACAGAGACACAGAGACACACAGAGAGAGAGACACATCACAGAGACAGAGACACACAGAGACACATCACAGAGACACATCACAGAGGCACATCACAGAGACACATCACAGAGACACATCACAGAGACACATCACAGAGACACACGGAGACACATCACAGAGACACATCACAGAGACACATCACAGAGACACATCACAGAGACACATCACAGAGACACATCACAGAGACACATCACAGAGACAGAGACACACAGAGACACACAGAGACAGATACAGAGACACACAGAGACAGAGACACAGAGACACACAGAGACAGAGACACATCACAGAGACAGAGACACACAGAGACACATCACAGAGACACATCACAGAGGCACATCACAGAGACACATCACAGAGACACATCACAGAGACACATCACAGAGACACATCACAGAGACACATCACAGAGACACATCACAGAGACACATCACAGAGACACATCACAGAGACACATCACAGAGACACATCACAGAGACACACGGAGACACATCACAGAGACACATCACAGAGACACATCACAGAGACACATCACAGAGACACATCACAGAGACACATCACAGAGACACATCACAGAGGCAGAGACACATCACAGAGACACATCACAGAGACACATCAAAGAGACACATCACAGAGACACATCACAGAGACACATCAAAGAGACACATCGCAGAGACACATCACAGAGACACATCACAGAGACACATCACAGAGACACATCACAGAGACACATCGCAGAGACAGAGACACATCGCAGAGACAAAGACACACAGAGACACACAGATACAGAGACACACAGAGACAGAGACAGACAGAGACAGAGACACACAGAGACAGAGACACACAGAGACAGAGACACACAGAGACAGAGACACACAGAGACAGAGACACAGAGACAGAGACACACAGAGACAGAGACACACAGAGACAGAGACACACAGAGACAGAGACACACAGAGACAGAGACACAGAGACAGAGACACACAGAGACAGAGACACACAGAGACAGAGACACAGAGACAGAGACACACAGAGACAGAGACACACAGAGATAGAGACACACAGAGACAGAAACACACAGAGACACACAGAGACAGAGACACACAGAGACAGAGACACACAGAGACAGAGACACGTGGAGACAGAGACACACAGAGAGAGAGACACACAGAGACAGAGACACACACAGACACACAGAGACAGAGACACACAGAGACACAGAGACAGAGACACAGAAACAGAGACACACAGAGACAGAGACAGACAGAGACAGAGACACACAGAGACAGAGACACACAGAGACAGAGACACGCGGAGACAGAGAGACACAGAGAGAGAGACACAGAAAGACAGAGATACAGAGAGAGACACAGAGAGACAGAGACAGAGACAGAGAGACACAGAGACACACAGAGACACAGAGAGAGAGAGAGACAGAAAGACAGAGATACAGAGAGACACAGAGAGACAGAGAGAGAGAGACAGAGACAGACACAGAGAGACAGAGAGAGACACACAGAGACAGAGAGACACAGAGAGACACAGAGAGACAGATAGAGACAGAGAGAGACACACACACAGAGACACACAGAGAGACAGAGAGAGACAGAGAGAGACACAGAGACAGAGAGAGAGACACAGAGAGACAGAGAGAGAGACAGAGACAGACAGAGAGACACAGAGAGACACAGAGAGAGACACAGAGAGACACAGAGACACAGAGAGACACAGAGAGACAGAGAAAGACAGAGACAGAGAGACACACAGAGAGACACAGAGAGACACAGAGAGAGAGAGAGACAGAGAGAGAGAGAGAGAGACACAGAGACACAGAGACACACAGAGACACAGAGACACAGAGACAGAGAGACACATAGAGAGACAGAGAGACACAGAGACAGAGAGAGAGACACAGAGAGAGACAGAGTGGACTGGTGACCAGCCTGCAGTGTGAGTGGACTAGTGACAGGGGGAGTCAGTCTGCAGTGTGAGTGGACTAGTGACAGGGGGAGTCAGTCTGTGGTGTGAGTGGACTAGTGGCAGGGAGAGTCAGTCTGCAGTGTGAGTGGACTAGTGACAGGGGGAGTCAGTCTGCGGTGTGAGTGGACTGGTGACAGGGGAGTCAGTCTGCAGTGTGAGTGGACTGGTGACAGGGGGAGTCAGTCTGCGGTGTGAGTGGACTGGTGACAGGGGAGTCAGTCTGCAGTGTGAGTGGACTGGTGACAGGTGGAGTCAGTCTGCAGTGTGAGTGGACTGGTGACAGGGGGAGTCAGTCTGCGGTGTGAGTGGACTAGTGACAGGGGGAGTCAGTCTGCGGTGTGAGTGGACTGGTGACAGGGGGAGTCAGTCTGCGGTGTGAGTGGACTGGTGACAGGGGGAGTCAGTCTGCAGTGTGAGTGGACTAGTGACAGGGGGAGTCAGTCTGCGGTGTGAGAGGACTAGTGACAGGAGAGTCAGTCTGCAGTGTGAGTGGACTGGTGACAGGGGAGTCAGTCTGCAGTGTGAGTGGACTAGTGACAGGGGGAGTCAGTCTGCAGTGTGAGTGGACTGGTGACAGGGGGAGTCAGTCTGCGGTGTGAGTGGACTGGTGACAGGGGGAGTCAGTCTGCAGTGTGAGTGGACTGGTGACAGGGGGAGTCAGTCTGCGGTGTGAGTGGACTGGTGACAGGGGAGTCAGTCTGCAGTGTGAGTGGACTGGTGACAGGGGGAGTCAGTCTGCGGTGTGAGTGGACTAGTGACATGGGAGTCAGTCTGCAGTGTGAGTGGACTAGTGACAGGGGGAGTCAGTCTGCAGTGTGAGTGGACTGGTGACAGGGGGAGTCAGTCTGCGGTGTGAGTGGACTGGTGACAGGGGGAGTCAGTCTGCAGTGTGAGTGGACTAGTGACAGGGGGAGTCAGTCTGCAGTGTGAGTGGACTAGTGACAGGGGGAGTCAGTCTGCAGTGTGAGTGGACTGGTGACAGGGGGAGTCAGTCTGCAGTGTGAGTGGACTAGTGACAGGGAGAGTCAGTCTGCAGTGTGAGTGGACTAGTGACAGGGGGAGTCAGTCTGCAGTGTGAGTGGACTGGTGACAAGGGGAGTCAGTCTGCAGTGTGAGTGGACTGGTGACAGGGGGAGTCAGTCTGCGGTGTGAGTGGACTAGTGACATGGGAGTCAGTCTGCAGTGTGAGTGGACTAGTGACAGGGGGAGTCAGTCTGCAGTGTGAGTGGACTGGTGACAGGGGGAGTCAGTCTGCGGTGTGAGTGGACTGGTGACAGGGGGAGTCAGTCTGCAGTGTGAGTGGACTAGTGACAGGGGGAGTCAGTCTGCAGTGTGAGTGGACTAGTGACAGGGGGAGTCAGTCTGCAGTGTGAGTGGACTGGTGACAGGGGGAGTCAGTCTGCGGTGTGAGTGGACTGGTGACAGGGGAGTCAGTCTGCAGTGTGAGTGGACTAGTGACAGGGGGAGTCAGTCTGCGGTGTGAGTGGACTAGTGACAGGGGGAGTCAGTCTGCAGTGTGAGTGGACTGGTGACAGGGGGAGTCAGTCTGCAGTGTGAGTGGACTAGTGACAGGGGGAGTCAGTCTGCAGTGTGAGTGGACTAGTGACAGGGGAGTCAGTCTGCGGTGTGAGTGGACTAGTGACAGGGGGAGTCAGTCTGCGGTGTGAGTGGACTAGTGACAGGGGGAGTCAGTCTGCAGTGTGAATGGACTGGTGACAGGGGAGTCAGTCTGCGGTGTGAGTGGACTAGTGACAGGGGGAGTCAGTCTGCAGTGTGAGTGGACTGGTGACAGGGGAGTCAGTCTGCAGTGTGAGTGGACTGGTGACAGGGGGAGTCAGTCTGCGGTGTGAGTGGACTGGTGACAGGGGGAGTCAGTCTGCAGTGTGAGTGGACTAGTGACAGGGGGAGTCAGTCTGCAGTGTGAGTGGACTAGTGACAGGGGGAGTCAGTCTGCGGTGTGAGTGGACTAGTGACATGGGAGTCAGCCTGGAGTGTGAGTGGACTGGTGACAGGGGGAGTCAGTCTGCGGTGTGAGTGGACTGGTGACAGGGGGAGTCAGTCTGCGGTGTGAGTGGACTGGTGACAGGGGAGTCAGTCTGCGGTGTGAGTGGACTGGTGACAGGGGAGTCAGTCTGCGGTGTGAGTGGACTGGTGACAGGGGGAGTCAGTCTGCAGTGTGAGTGGACTGGTGACAGGAGGAGTCAGTCTGCGGTGTGAGTGGACTAGTGACAGGGGGAGTCAGTCTGCGGTGTGAGTGGACTGGTGACAGGGGGAGTCAGTCTGCGGTGTGAGTGGACTGGTGACAGGGGGAGTCAGTCTGCGGTGTGAGTGGACTGGTGACAGGGGAGTCAGTCTGCGGTGTGAGTGGACTGGTGACAGGGGGAGTCAGTCTGCAGTGTGAGTGGACTGGTGACAGGGGGAGTCAGTCTGCGGTGTGAGTGGACTGGTGACAGGGGAGTCAGTCTGCGGTGTGAGTGGACTAGTGACAGGGGGAGTCAGTCTGCAGTGTGAGTGGACTGGTGACAGGGGGAGTCAGTCTGCAGTGTGAGTGGACTAGTGACAGGGGAGTCAGTCTGCGGTGTGAGTGGACTGGTGACAGGGGAGTCAGTCTGCAGTGTGAGTGGACTAGTGACAGGGGAGTCAGTC